AGATACAGACTGACAGTGCATTCCACATTGATGTCTTACTGGGCTACTATGTAGAGTGGAGAGCATTTGTATGATCATTTTTGGTCAAATTCCATTTTTTCCCCCTGTGCCAACATAGAAATACAATAAGAAATTATTCTAAAAATATGTATTAATTCACTAATATATAAGAAAGTTTGTACTCTGGTGTTATTTTCATTTAATTCAATAATAAAACCTTCAAGGAAAACTTTCCCTTAAGATTGTGAATGGAAAATTTGCTGGTTGTTTCCCTAGATCAAGTTGTATGACAGTAACTGCTGTTCTGACTCAAAGTGTGAAATCAACAAAATGTTGACAAATTTACCTGCAGAGAACATTGCTTTATCAGCAGGAGATTTGGATTTTTGCAGTGAAGCCCAATTATTCTAGCTCAATATCATTATACAGCATTTTTTTAGCAGGTCATGTAATCTGTGATTGCATTAGTATGTTTCCATACTTCTTAAAAAGAATGGCTGAGAGAAGCTTAAAAATATAAAGCTGTTTAAAAATTATAAAAGTTAAAAGATTATAAAGATTATAGCTTTTCTAAAATGATCAGAGAAAAAGTGAATTGTTTAAAGATTAAAGTGTGATACTACCATTGTTATGAATCATGGGTGTTCTTTGGTAATTATAGGGATGACCATGAATTATTTAATTTCATGATTTTTGCCAATCACATTTAAAATATATTTGAATAATGACATTATCAATCCTTGATTATTCATGAGTAGATTTTTCATGTTTTGTACAATCTTTGGTAGATTAAAAAATTACTGTCTTTTCTGTTTTCCATAATTATTTTGGTATTATATAGGAGCACTGATTATTTTAAATGTATATGAAAACTATAACATCCTTACTCTCAAAGGCTGTCAGAATATTTACATCATCTTACTTTTCTGCATCATTTTAAAAGGCCTCCCAAGAGTCCCACATTAATTTAAAAGAAGAGCAGGAATTGGCCTTTATAGATGTCATGTCTTGCAGTGTAGTTTCTCTCTTTGGTTGAAAATATGATGAATTTTTAGGTCACCACATATTCTGGTATTGAAAGTATAATACAAAATACATTTGAAGTCAAATTTAGAGCTTCGAGCTGGAATCTTTGATGTAATTTTCCCTTGTCTTCTTACCCAGTGGGGTAGTCCTTTCTGTGACATGCTACAGGAATGGTAGCATTCCTGATAGCCTTTGCCTAAAAACTCTGAGCAGGGATTCTAGCCCTTTAAGAAGTTGACTTTGTATTAATTACATAATAATTGAGTCATTCTTTACTGCTGAGCTCAAATCTACATTGTGCTAGGCACCAGAACTTCCTTGCTCTCCTCTTCTAATTATGAAGTATTCCAAGCATACAGACAAGTATTAAGAATACTTTAATGAATATCACTGAAATTCATTCACTCTTAACTTTTGGTGCTTCTTCAGTTATTATGTACTCTGTTATATCAGAAGTTCATGGAATCAGATGTCTTAGAAAAATTAAGATAATTAAATTTGCAGCATTATTGGTTGTTTAAAAAATTCTTTTCAAAAAGGAAATGAAGTTAATGTATTACCTGAATACTCATTCAACTTTCTCTTTTACACTTTTTGGACTAAAGTGAAGCAAGGCTGTCCCTGGAGGGCCTTATTTGCCCTTAGGTTCTTCCAGGCACCAGAGCTGAGCTGCTGTTCTTTATTTTTATTGCACATGGAAGTGTCTAGATTTATATTCCCACTGCAGGTGAAAAGTCTTGCCCTTCAAATCATCCGTTATTTGGCTATTTACAATCTTCTTTTTAGTATTGTCAAATACCAGCTGACCTCCTTGTTTATTTGACCTTTTTCTTAAATTAGAAATCACAGCATTTGATCACATAAACAGCAGACCACATACAGTTAACCTAACCTCTCTGACCTTCACTATCTCAAAAGTAGTATAAAAGTGATGTAACAATTACTTTTCTTTTAGATAAAATGTTCTCCAAATCAGTCAAGTGAAATGAAAATTCCTTGTTAAATAATGTGTATGTAGACAAGATGAAAAAGTGATTAATATGCAAGAAAGCTGTCCCAAACCAACCAACCAAACAAAACAGCCCTCAAAACAAATAAAAACTCTTCAAAACCTAGCCTTGCCAGAAATTATTACTACAACCTCTAAAGAAACTAGAGAAGTATGATTCAAAGTGTTTTCAGTGTAACCAAAAGACATTTATTTTTTTAAAAGCTGAAAATAGGAAGGCTGCATATCTACTGAAGAAGTATTGAAAAATTCTGAGAGGATGTAGAGAAAAAGAAACACTTTTATACTGTTGGTGATGTTAATTGTAAATTTTTGGTATAATCACTATGGAAATCTGTATGGAGGTTCCTCAAAAGACTAGGTATGGCTGGCGTAGTGGCTCATGCCTATAATCCCAGTGGTTTAGGAGGCAGAGGTAGGAGGATTGTGAGTTTAAAGCCAGCCTCAGCAATGGTGAGGTGATAAACAACTCAGTGAGACCTGTCTTCAAATAAAATACAAAATAGAGCTGGGGATGTGGCTCAGTGGTTGAGTGCCCCCGAGTTCAATCCCCAGTACCAAAAAATAAAAAAAAAATAATAAAAATGACTAGTCATGGAACTACCATATGATCCAGCTATACCACTACTTGGTATTTATCCTACAAAATTAAAGTCATCATACTATAGTGATACATGCACACCCCTGTTTATAGCAGCACAGTTCACAGTAGCAAACTATGGAACCAGTCTAGGTGTCCATCAATAGATACATGGATAAAGAAAATATATGATATATATACACAATGGAGTTTTATTTAACCATTAAGAAAAATGAAATTATCATTTACAAGAAAATGGATAGAACTAGAGACCATTGTGTTAAGTGAAATAAGCCAGAATCAGAAAGTCAAGTGTCATATGTTTTCTCTCATATGTGGAAGTTAGGAAAAAGGAAAAGAAAGTTGGGGTTGGGGATCTCATGAAAATCAAAGGGAGATCAGTAGAATAGAGGAAAGGGACCGGGGTCCAGAAGCAGGAGAGAAGGAGAGAGTGCTGGAGAATGATATTGGCCAAATTATATTGTTATATTGTGTGCCTGTAGAAACATGTAATACTGAACCCACCATTATGTGCAAGTGTAATGCAAAGTGTAAATGAATTTGTGTTTTGCTGTTCACCAGATTTTTGGCTTTGAAAATTTGACCTTAGTCATGATTAGTTATCCAGTCCTCTGAGTACACAGGCTATATTACATTTTTATAACTGGACTGAATGATTTTCAGATTAAGAATTTTAAGTACAAAGTTAATATTTCAGAGAGCTAACTCCTTCTGTTACAAACAAAAGGGACGAGACTGGTTATGATTTTAAACGAGGGTTCTTTGAGGGCTGATGCTGTAGCTCAGTTGAAGAGCACTTGCCTAGCATGTGAGAGATCTTGGGTTTCATACCCATTACTGCAAAAAAAAAAAAAATCGGTCTTCAGCCAGGCATGATAGCACCTGACTATAATCCCAACAACACAAGAGGCTGAGGCAGGAGGATAACAAGTTACAGGCTAGCCTCAATATAGGGAGTCCGTGTCTCAAATTAAAAAGGGCTGGAGGAGTAGTTCAGTGGTAGAGTGCCCCTGGGTTCAATACTCAGTACTATATAAATAAGTAAATAAAGACTAATTTGAGTCTTACTTAACTATTGAAAAATGTTGAGACCTTTAATGGTAGTAAAATGGTAGTGAAACATAATGTGCATGAATACATGTGAATCTTTATAAATTGTAAAGAACAATTCCATTGGTTTTATTCTTAATAGCCATCAAAATAGTTGCAGGTCTGTATAGTAGTTCACAGTTCATGATCCCCTCAGAGTTACGATAATTATAGACTGAAAAATGTACATCCCAACTTTTATCTGTAAATGGGATAAATAGTAGACTTGGTGTGTGTGTGTGTGTATGAACATTTTTTTTTTTTGCAAATCTATATTTATTTTAGTGAATAGAATAATAACAGTGTTAAAATGTTACTGAGTTAAGGCATTGGTATATGGATTCAATCATTAGCTAGTAAGCATTACTTATTACAAATGAAAAAGGGAGGAAGAAAACTATAGATTAGAAGAGATTGAAGGGAGACAGTTACCATTGCCTGTATGGGTTTCCTTTAGATTTGGGTTAGAAACTATTAAAAAGTCATTTATAAGACTGGTGTGACTCAGAGGCTGAGTCAAGAGGATCACAAGTTTGAGGTCAGCCTGGGCCACTCAGCAAGATCCTGCCTCAAAATCAAAAATACAAAGGGCTGAGGATGTAGCTCAATGGTAGAGCATCACTGGGTTCAGTCACCAGTGGGGAGGCTAAGGATGAGTGAAAGATATTTGGGAAAATTTAACCACTGACTGGTAGTTGATGTTATAAAATAATTATTATTAATATACTGTAGGTATTAAAATGGGATTGGCTTATGTTGAAAAAGTAAATCTTTATTTTTGATACATACTGAATTTTCTACATGTGTCTGAAATTTGCTTTGGGATAATCCAGAGTGTGTGGTATGAAAAGATAAATAAAGATATAAATGAAACATGATATTCTGAGTTAATTGTTGAAGCTGGAACTAATGGGATAGGGGTTCATGATACCAGTGAATAATTTTGCATTAGTTTGGAATTTTTCATAGTAAAAACTGAGAGAAAATGTAATGCTGTGTTATTGAATGAGGATGACTGCAGCACCAGGTAACTAATACAAAAGAATGCATACGACTAACACAAATATGCACTTATTACAAACATAGCTGATGTGTAAATATGGTGTTTTGTTTTTCTTTAGAGCTGAAGCCATTCATTTGAGTCTTGGATGATTCACATCTAAATGCTTCATTCTCAAAACTGCTCAAGTCACACAGTCAGAATTAGATGATCCACATTACCACCAAGAAATTACTGTCTTCAGTGACACAGACGGTAAGATTATACTAAATATTCTAAAGGCTAAATAGTGACTAAGGTCTAAAAGGGTTTTTGAATGTTGTATTGTGGCTTCAAGTTTCAATTATAATTCCTTGATCCCCTTGAAACTTGTGTTAGTCTGGTTTCTATCACTCTAATGAAATATGTGAGATAATTGACTTATTAAGAGAAAAGGTTTGTTTTGGCTCAGAATTTGGGAAGTTCTATCTATGAACGATTGGCCCCATTGTTTTGGGCCTGTTGTGTGGCAACATATGGTGGGAGTGTGTGGTGGAGTCAAACTACTCATTTCATGGTGTGGAAGCAGGAGAGGAGGGGACTGGAGTCCCACAATCCCCTTCAAGAACAAACGCCCAATGGCTTCCTTCCATGAGGCTCCACTTCTCAAACGCTCTACCACTTCCCAATAGTGCCCAAGTTGGGGCCAGTCCTTTAACACATGGATCTTTGGGGGACATTCAACATCAGATCCACAGCAAGTTCAAAGTTATGATGATTACCTAGCATGCTTTGAAATAGCAACCATAAATTAGATTTCATGTCATTTTCTCCTCAGAGATTCAGCAGCAGCAGGTACAGTGTTGTACTGGAATGCCCTGCTTTCTCCCTGGCTCCACATCTCAGGGTGGGTTCTTAGGAAGCTGGTGCTAAAAAAGAGTGTAGCTTGCAGGATGTTTATTAGGATTTGACACCTATGGAGAGGGGGATGAGATAGGAAGCAGATTGGGCAGAGGAAACAGAACTCCAGTGAAGGCTCAATGAAGATTGGGCCGACCCTATAGGCAGTATTATAGCTGGAAGACTTGGTTTTCCTTCTTGGAGATGGACATGCGTCTCAGTGCCTTGGTTATCTTGCACAGATCATTATAAAAGTTGCATAGCAAGTATTTGTTGATTGAAGAAAGTCGAATAAAAGTGTGTGGTCTGTTGTATAACACCTTATGCTTTCCCCTTTACCTCAACCCCTTCCTTTCAGCAGTTGAAAGTGCCGTTGAGAACATTGAGGTTCACAGCTACACAGCTGGTTGTGCTGTGTATCATGAACAACACCAAGGTGGCTTCCCCTCTGTGATTAACGTGTGTTGTATACCACTGTGTTTCTGGGCTCCGTAGATAAGACCTGCACAGGACCTCAGGCAAACAACAGACCCAGGCTATATGGAACATGAGGCCATGTTCAGAGACAGAAAGATGGAGCAAGTGAGTGTGTTTGGAAACACAGTGATAACTTTTAGGCGCAGTAAGGCACAGTTTGTGGTTCCCACCAGTTTTTTCCACCTTCTGGAAAATGGGTTGATTGGATATTAATTGTGATCCTTCTAGGCTCAGGGGTTAAGAGAATGTGCTTCTTAAGCAAGCATTTTTGTAAAAGTTAGTGTTTTTTCCCTTGTAAGAGTCCTCTGCTTTAGGGTGAGAAATTTCTTTTAGTTGATTTCCTTGTTTTTCACCTCTGCAGAATTTGCATTAATCTTTTACATATCGTCTGAGACTGCCTATTGTTTTGATGCTTGATTATAAAGGAACTTCAGATAACATCTTTTGAGTGAATAAAGTAAGGAATAGTCAACCTCATAAGTAATGTAGTAGAAGATAGGATGAAAGACTAAGTAATTCAGAACCAGACATTGACTTGTTTTTCTATTACAATCATTTTCTCCAATACCCCTAGAGATCATTTTTTGCTTCATCTTTAGAAATATGATATAAATACTTCATGTGTATTGGAAGAATGAGACTGTGAATGTGTTTTCACTAAGTGAATCTGATTTTTCAAGTTATTATTAAAATGTGTGTCTTTCGAAGTTACAAATGTGATTACTTAGGGCGTTCCTTCTTTCTCAGTTCCCTTTGTTTCTTTATTTCCTTCTTGTTCGCTTGGCACCCCCACCAGAGGGCAGGCAAAGGAAGGGATAGAAACAAATATTGCCTTTAAGTTTTCAAAGTCTTTTACAGGCACCCTTTCACTGGTCTCTTTTGTCATAGTTCTGGATTCCATTAAGGCAGTAGGATGAGCTACTTTCGCTATTTTAAAATATTAAGTAGAGTGCTCAATTATTTTGAAAATATATGTTACTGGTTACTGTGTTTATTGATTTTAAATATTTATACTTCAAATTATTCAAATTTATGTTCTTGGAGCCATCTGTTTGAAATTATGAGTTAAATTTTGGTAATTCATGCTAGAATTTCTACTACTACAACTGATAAGTTGATTTGATCTTAATAAGGAAAGTCGTTTTGAGTGTGCATTTAAAAGTACATCAGAATTTTCATAATACACTGTAAAGTTGTCAGTGATTCCTTTTCATGTATTGTGGAAGTTGTTGTTCCCAAGGTCTATAACTGAATTTTTACAATGGTAAGGATTATATGTTTTTAATGCAAGTAACTATTGAAGTGTAAAAGACACACCTCAGACCAAAGTAAATTTGTCTTTACATTATCCTAGTGAAGTCTAAATGTTAAAATGGATAGATATGAAATACTTTATGGTCTCAGTATTGCTGTTAACACCCATCACACAAGTATGTGTATATAGTCTGTTTGGTTTGTTATCAGCATGAACAGTCAATGTCCTAAAAATCAGCTTCCCAACAGCTGGCAGTTGACCTGCTGAGTTTTAGCACCGCCTAAATTCACATGACATTTCTTTGCTCTTTGACACAAATTGTGTCACTTAACTTCTCATCAAGGAAGTATACAGGCACCTTTTCTGTGTGCCTGTGACAGGGTCTAGTAATGTAGAAAAAGCTTAAAATGGATTTTTTAAAGAGAGTTGTTCCTCCCATTCTTTCTGGAGACATGGTTTTGGATACTAGAGATAGCATTCAGGAAAGTTCCCCAAAATTACTAAAGATGAGACGTCTCAGTTCGCTTTCATCAGAGAAGACAGTAGAGGAGCAAGATGGGAGCAATTTCTGTCACAGTCATTATGACAGATACCAACATCAGCAACTAGGTAAAGTAAAAATGCACTGCTTTCTATCCTCTCAAAAAAGGATTTTAGGAAAGTAAAATTATTTTACAAGTATGAATTCTAGTGATCCTGAATCTTTATTTGAAAAATCATGTTTAAACATTAAAAATGTTTAATAAAGTAGCTATATAGTTGGCTTAAATTTTTTAATATTGAAATTTTTGCTTTGAGTTTAGAGGGAGACGTTTTTATGCTATAAAAAATTAAGATAAAACCATTAATAAAGTTGACAGTTTTGATTTTTGGAAAATATTTTGATGGTGATATATTTTAAAATATTATTGTTAAAACCTTTAGGATATGTAAGTAAAAAACTAAGACACTGAGTTTTTATCTATCATCATAGAAACAACTTAAATTTTGTTTAAAAAGTAGGTCTCACTGTTTAGTCTTAAAAACAGTGAATATTTGGTGTGAGTATTACAATTTTTTAGGGGCAAGTGTTGTAACTTGGTGGTAGAGCACTTGTGTAGCATGAACAAGGGCCTGGGTTTCATTCCCAGCCCTGGGTTGGGGAGTAGTCTTTGAATGTAAGATGATTACTTTGTATTGTAGTACTTTTGTTACAAAAATCAATTCTGCACATAGTAACTAACAAATGGAAAAAATTATTTTGTTTTAAAATTTCTGATTAAAATTGTTTGTATAAACAATTTTAATAAATAATAATATAAAATATTTAATAAATAATATAAAATATTGTGAACTTTTATATTTTAGGGAGTAAATAGCTATTTGTATAAATTAATGAAATATTTATTAGAAGAGGGTTTCTGTAAACCATCTGCAAGTTTGATATATATTATAGCTGTTTTCTATGCATATTTAAAAATGCACACAGTTTAAATATGCACATATTTTTAAACATGTATATACACATTTTTACTAGTAGAATCTAAATGAGATTTATTGTCCAAATGGTTCTGATACATTCTTTTTTTCAGTTAGTACATCATAAACATCTTTCTGTCTTATTTGAAGTGTGTTCCATTGTGTGACACAACGATTTGTCCAGCTACTCTTTCATTCATGAACATTTAGAATGACTAAATTTAGCTATTAAAATAATTATGTAATTATTACTCAATTATGTATCATTTTATACCTTTAGATGATTGCTTCTTAGTATAAATTTCTATGCTCCTTTAAAATTTGGATAGAAGATGCTATGTTACTTTTAAAACGTTTCTCAGATTAGCCTCTTCAGGACAGGATATGAGAGTCCCTATTACTTTATAGTCTCCCTAACACTGTTTTGTGGCAGTTTAAAAAGAGCTGTCTGTAGTTCAAACCACAGTTTCTGCATTGAAAATATCAATTATGTAAAAGAATGAAGGAGTTTTTAAGTTTTATAAATAAATATATATTGCTTTCTACAATGTATTTCTATTAAAAGTCATCTTCACCTGGGTGGGTGAAATGGAGGTGAGGCCATAGGTGGGTTGGTACCCCTTAAATTTCAATTAAAGTCTATAAATCGGTAAGCAGAGTTTTGTGTTCAACAGTGTATATGTGTGTAAGCAAAAATATGAATGTATTAATATGTACAGTTACAAAGTTATTAAAGAGTTACTTTTCCTTTCACTTTCAGTCTTGAATCATTAGCTTTTGCTATAACAACAACACTGCTGTTATAACACAGCCTATATGATTGGACTTTGTTTAAATGTAATATGCCATTTATGTGGCTCCTTTTGTATCTGAACTTGATCTGGTATTTTTAAAAACTATCTTACAGTCTTTGGAATAAAGCATACATGTTACCAAGCATAGTTAGATTTTGTAATTTATATTAATTTGTAAATAAGGGTTCAATTTGGTGATTAACATTTTTTCATAACATATGTTCTTTTAGAAATCATGGTTAAAACTAACCAAAATAATGGAGTACTGAAGAATTTCCTGTCTGTCAAAATTTCTGAGGCTGCAGGTACTTTGAGGAGTACCCTTGCCCAATTTTTGTTTCTTCAAAAGTAAAATTCAAATTTGGGAATGACTCTGAAAGTTAAAGAATTTCTTGGGTGATTTATATACTGCTGGCAGCTGGAAGTTTGCTGGGGCCCCTTTGGCTGTGACTTCCAGCTGCCAGCAATATACAAAGGTTTGGTTTTAAAATGTCTGTTCCAAGCCAGGCCTGATGGCACACATCTATAATCCCAGCAGCTTGGCAGGCTGAGGCAGGAGGATCACGAGTTCAAAGCCAGCATCAGCAAAAGTGAGGCACTAAGCAACTCAGTGAGACCCTGTCTCTAAATAAAATACAAAATAGGGCTGGGATGTGGCTCAGTGGTTGAGTACCCTTGATTTCAATCCCTGCCATCCCCACCCCCTGCCATGAAAAGAATAAAGGTCTGGTCCTTAAATTTCAGTTTACTTATGACAGTCCTTCTGTCAAATCTCAATATTTGATACTAAATATGTATCAAATAGAATAGAACCTACATGGATCCCCCATAAACAAGAAGGTTCACTTATGCTGAGATGCAGGAACTTGTAAGTACTGGTGGTTCTGGGATAGAGAAAATGTAGTAGTTTAGTTAGAACTCATGAAAATATAACTGGTTTAGCTCACTTAAGGGGTGTTCTAGTTTTGTTCATTTAATGAAAGGAGACATTAAGATTGTGGAGGGATTTCAGGTGAACAATGCAAAAGAAAAAAAGAAGGAAGCTATTTTAGAGAAAAACTGGCATGTAATCTCATACCTTTGTACTGGAATCAGTTTGTTTCCAACTTCTTCAATTGTTCCATATTTTAAAAGATTTTTCTAAGGCATATTAGATAAGATCGTACGATGGATGGACAATTATACTTGTGAGAGGATCATTTGAGTATAAGTCCAGCTTAGAAAACATAGAAACCCACCATATATTTTTAACTGTAAAATTGTTTATGGTCAATTATGATTTCTTTAACAAAAATATTTGTAGAATTGATGTATTTTCAGTGGGTCAATATTTGGAAGAACTTTTTTTCTTTGCTTTTGATAAATGTTTTCATTTTTGAACTTTCTTTAAATGTCAAGTAGCCTAATATTTAAACATTTTTATAGACATTCTCAAACACTTCACTGGGTTTACCAATATCATTTGTTCTCTCTGGAAAAACAGATTAGCAGTCTGCTTGCTGCAGACTGTTGAATTCCCTTGCCACCATTTCTGCTCCCAACAGGCCAAGTTGTGGGCTTCCTGAGAATTGGTTGTATTTTTAATCTAACCTGTTTATGCCAATTATGCCTGCTATTGTGATTATTATTTTTTTTTAAATTTTTTTTTAATGTTTATTTTTTAGTTTTCGGTGGACACAACATCTTTGTTTGTATGTGGTGCTGAGGATCGAACCCGGGCCGCGCGCATGCCAGGCGAGCGCGCTACCGCTTGAGCCACATCCCCAGCCCTGCTATTGTGATTATTTAACTTAATTACATATTATATAATTTGGCAAAATATGAGATTAAAAAGAAAGGATTGTTTTGGGTTGTTTTAGTGTAAGCAAAGTGTGTGCTTTGGTCAGATTCCATAAAGAAGAACTCCTAAAATAAATTTGTGTTTGAATTAAATGCAGGCCAGTGAAGTATGGGCAAGATTGGAAGGATTTTGCCCTTGGATACCTTCTGTAACTTGAAATCATAGTTGATGTATGTGGGTTTGGTTTTAGGCAAGGAAGACAATGGTATAATCAGCAAATCCATCTCAAAGGACGATGCCATGGTACTTTATCCAAGGGCTGTGAATTAAACATGAATTTTATATTTGATGTTAAAATAGAACCTTAATGGACCTCTTGATCCTTTTCTTCTGATTCCTACTTGAATGGAGCTTTTAAATTAAATGGTTAGCCAAGAGTTGGACTTTAGACTAAAAGCACCCTACTGTATATAGGGTATAATATTGCAATATTATTAAAGAAATAAATCATTTATCTGCCATACCTACTTCCTTAATAAGAAAAGGGTGTCAGAATGATCACATAGCATGTGCTGTAACCTTATCTTATTCACGAGAGACTTAAATTCATAGTTTTTATGTGGAGTCGTAATTGTGTGATCAAAGACTGATTTCAGGGGCTGGAAGTGTAACTCGGTGGTAGAGGGCTTGCTTAGTGTGCACGAGGCCCTGGGTTTGATGCACAGTACCACAAATGAGACAACAGAAAAAGGGATTTAATTGGTAAGTATTATTAGAATTGGAACAAATAGTTTTTATTTTCAGACTTAATATTTGGTAGGAAGAAAATGCCCTTTGCTGATTTCAGAATGTGCTGCTATGTTTCTGATGATTGAAGAACAGTGAATGATAGGTAGAGTCAGAGCCTAAAAATCAGGCAGTGTGTGTTTCTGCAGGCTTCTGTTGTAACAGCTACAGAATCCTTATATCTCCAGAATAGGGTTATTTTTATTCTGATAGAATCAATCTTAATTTTGTTTTTATTCATTGGAGTCAAGCATAAGTGTTAATGTGATAAAAATATAACATTGACTCTTATAGTCCACCAAGAGCAGAGCCAGTGATAAAGTATGTATCAACATTAGAAATGGAAGAAACATGAGCACCTTCTATAGTCTAGATATTGTTATCTTGTTTTATTTTACCAAGAAGTGAAATTATTTCATTTGTCTACCTATTTAGCACATATCTGTTCCCTTTCCATGGTCAAATTAGAATGGAAGCTGAGCATGGAATTGCTTTGCTTGATGTGTTCCAGGGCTTAGGACATAATAGTTATGCAATAAATACTGGGTAAATGTCTGGATATTGCCCACCTAAATCTTCTTAGACAACCCTGCGACACAAATTATTATCTAAGATTTTAGAAATTCATGGAGGCTTAAGGAAATTATTTGAGTTTTTTTTCTGTTCTATCTCATTGCAGTGTTATTTGATGCTTTTGAATCTTTATCTTTTTTTAAAGTCTAGTATATCTGTAGTTTTCTTAAAGAACATATATCTTTGTGGTTACTTTCATTTTATATAAGAAACATATT